AAAATGTGTCACATGGCCTGAGTTAGGCTAAGCCAAAAACTTCTAAATAATCTGTCCCTTTCCCAATTGCCTTAGCATCCCATCTTTTTCTCTCAGCTCCTTTTCCTCCTCCCACTTGCCCACTTCACCTATATCTCACAGGATGGACGAAAACCAGTCTGTTTACCTGACGCCTAGTGTGTGGATGGAAGCTGTGTGCTCAGTCAGCTGGAGGCTCGAGGCCATTGTGATGGCTTTATTGAAGTGACAAGACCCTTTCACCCCTTTTCCCATAGCCCAGTGAGTCAACTGATTGGGAAGTTGTCTGCAGACCCGCAGGACCTGCTGTTCGGAGAGCTGATCTGACCTGATGACATTTTTCTCCCTGCTCACCCTGAGCAGGACTGTCTCCACTGCTCTGGGCTTTCCCACAAAAGCCATTGATTCTTCCTGGCTCTTGACTTTTCTTTTAAGATGTTGGATTTCCCTAGAAGACTGCTAAAATCCTTGGTTTAAATTTTTGGATTTGAATCTTTAATCCTAGTGCTGCTGGGGAGGCCTGAGCATTGGTGTCACTCCTTCTGACCTTTACACTCCTCAACGGCCCCACTGAGCCACTTTGTCACTCTCCCCGATAAATACAACCAGATTCACCTTTTCACCCAATCCCCTAACTCCCCCTCCTCTGGCAACCATCAGTCTCTTCTCTGTATCCAAGAGTCCGTTTCTATTTTGTTTATATTGTTCTTAGGCTTCACATATAAATGAGGTCATATAGTATTTGTCTTTATTTGACTGACTTATTTCACTTAGCATAATACTCTCTAGGTTCATCCATGCTATTGAAAATGGTAAGTTCTTGTTCTTTTTTATGGCTGAATAATGTTCCATTGTATGTATGAACCACAGCTTTTTTATCCACTTGTCTATTGGTGGGCATTTAGGTTGCTTCCATAGCTTGGCTATTATAAATAATGCTACAAGTAACATAGGGCTGCATATATTCTTTCAAATTAGTGTTTTGGGGTTTTTTTTTTAGATATATACCCAGAAGTGAAATCGCTGGGTCATAAGGCAGTTTCATTAATTTTTTTTAGGAGCCTCCATACTGTTTTTCACAGTGGCTTTACCCATCTCCATTTTTTTTTTATGTCCTCATCAACACTTATTGTTATGTTATTATGATAGCCATTTGACAAGTGTAAAGTGATATCTCATTGTGGTTTTAATTTGCATTTCTCTGATTAATAGTGACATTGAGCATCTTTTCATATGTCTGTTGGCCATTCACATGTCCTCTTGGGAGAACTCATATCAGTTCCTGAGGGGGAAAAAGTCAAGAGCTATTGCCTCTGACACACCTGTTCTTCTCTGTGGTGCCAAGTGACTTTGGCTCCTTAGGGATTTGATTCCATGGTGGAGCCCAGAGTTGTGCTCTGAAAGCAAGGGGAGTTCTTTCTTAGGTGACCTCAGCTCTGCGAACTGGCCCCAAAGCCCTTGCCTTTAAGAATCCAACCCTTCTCTGTCCCCTTTCTATTATCACTAGGGGCCCAGCTCATCTCTCCTCTGCAACACTGGCCATCCAGGTCCTCCCTCCCAGGCGATGGGGCAGCCTTCTTCTCTATCCCCTCCCATCAGTACCCATCTCATCCCTTCTCCTCCCTTCCAGGGCAGCCAGGGCCTTCTGCCAAATCAGACTCCTGGTGTCTCCCTCCCTAGGTCTAATATGCAGTGGGACCCTAGCTATACTTGAGTGTGTGTATATTTTATTTTCTTGAGAATGAAGGGTTATTCCTTTCCCAGAACACAGTTCTGCTTTTACAATGGAATTGAATAAAAAATAGGATTCTCTTTGCAGAAATGCAGTTTATAACTAAAGGCCAAAAGATATTGACTCTGTTAACAAGACATACCTGCAGTTCCAGAAGGAAAAAAAATGGTGATTTTTCAGATTTGCTAAGTAAGTCTCTGCCCAGTGAACTGAATGACCCTTCTAGCCACATGTGAGGGTGTGGATACTTTTCCTTGTGAGGAAGATCAATTACATTTTCTTTTCCATGCATTGGTTATTTTAAAATACCATTCATTACTGGTTTCCTCCATTTGCTTTCCCTTAAAAAGTCCATTAGATTAAATACTCAAGCTGAGCACAGACTTCTTGATGCTGAAATTATGAACAGTGAGGGCTGATTGCACCAAACAGCTGTTCTGACCTGTTCTGACTCATCAGGCCTCAGGAACTATCCACATCTGGCAGGATCCAAAAGAGCCATCCTGGGAGCATGCAGAGAGCACTAGGCTGGGAGTCATGACTCAGTTTCCTCATTTATGAAATTAGGGGCAGAGTGAGATGACTTCGAGGGTGTTTTGGTTGTATTTGTTTTGAGTTCTGACCACCTATGAAATATTTTGTCTGCCATAATTACATACAGCTTTCAAGCACACACTTATACAAAGATAGATACCCAAGCCACTGACTACCTTGATGCCTTGCCTGAAGCCTGGAAGTGCTCATTCCCGCTTTTAGGCAGTGTAAAGAGCCTTAGAATTTACAAAGCCATTCCACATACTCAGTATTTTTACTAGGCCCGGAAACAAGCCTGTGAGCTACATGCTGTATTGCCCCCATTTTAGAGGTGAACAGACGTGAGAGCAGGAGTAGTTCCCTAAATTTGGGTGGGATGTAAGTGGACAGCCGGGGCCTATCTGTGCAAGCCCAACAGTGTGTGCATCCAGCTGCACTGCCTCCAGCAAGGGTGTGTTTGCACATTGTCTATGTTTCATTGTTGTTGCACAACACCCTCATGACACACAAAACAAATCATGCCCCGCCTCTACATCCAGCAAGAAATTGAGGCAGCAGAAGTAAACTATAATAGCAAAGTCAACATTTTTTTTTCCATACAACTAGTTCCCACTCTCCTATCAAAATGGAAGTAAAAATGGAGGATGGACAAGCTTCACCCTGTGTCAGTTTCACTCGCAGTACATTTGTGTAATATTTCTTTTAAAGAAATAAAATACAGCAGTTCCTACTGAAGTCCCTTTGTTCCCCTTATTGGCTTCCCAGTGACCATCTTGCGATATTCAGGGCCAAATTATTCAAAACATTTTTATATGTGCATTGGAATAATCACCATTTTAAAAAATATATTTTTATTGATTTTAGAGAGAGAGAAAGAGAGGAATAGAAACAGCAATGATGTGAAAGAATCATTGGTCAGCTGCCTCCTGCAGGCCCCCTACTGGGGATTGAACCACAACCCCAGGCGAGTTCCCTGAGTGGGTCGAACAAGTGACCTCTTAGTTCATGGGTTGATGCTCAACCACTGAGCCATACCGGCTGGGCTACCAATTTTTGAAACAAAAAGTGCTTTTGTATTGTGGTAAAATATACATAACATAAAACTTACCATTTTAATTACTTTTCAGTGTGCAATGCAGTGGTGATTAGTACATTCATGTTGTTTTACGATCAGCACCACCAGCAATCTCCAGAACTCTTTTATCTTCCTAAACAGAAACTATATCCATTAAACAGTAACTCCCCAATCCTTCCTCCCCCAACCCCAAAGAGCCACTGTTCTGCTTTCTGTCTCTATGAATTTGACTCTTCTAGGTACCTCATATAAGTGGAATAACATTTGTCTTTTTGTGCCAGGTTTATTTCATGAAGCATAAAACCTTTAAGGTTCATCCATGTTGTAGCAGGTGTCAGAATGCCATTCCTTTTTCAGACTAAATAATATTCCATTATATCAATATACTACAATTTACTTATCAATTTATCCATTGATGGACTTTTGGGTATTGTGAATAGTGGTACTGTGAATGTGGGAGTACGAATATCTCTTTGAGTCCTTGCTTTGGTTTATTTTGGGTTTATACCCACAAGTGGAATTGCTGGATCACAATGAAATTCTAGGTTTAATTTCTGAGGAACCATCATCCTGTTTCTATAGCAGCTGCACCATTTTACATTCCCACCAACAGTGCCCAAGGGTTTCCATTTCTCACCAATATTTTCTGGTTTTTAATAATAACCACCCTAGTGAAAATGAACAAGAAGTGCTTTCAAGGATCATCTTATCAAATAGGAAGAAACTGGAGACGAGAGGGAGACGGTCACTTAGAGAGTCCAAGATCACAAGCAAGTCAGTGACAGAGCAGGACTAACCCTGGGTTCCACATCCTTCACCCAGTTCTTGTTACTAAAACACACAATCCAGTTTCCATTGCTTTATGCACACCCATGACCATGGGCCAGATACATACTGCAGATTTCTTTGTTTTGGTCCTAACTTTTCAAAATTCAAAATGCTACCAATATTTTAAAATATGGGGATCTTATATTTTAAAAATCTAGATTTCTGATTCTGGTGACTCTGAACTAACATTCTCGCATGGCATGATAGGAGCTGCCACCTTAGACATGTGGTTGGCAGTTTGCTACAGTCCCTACCACTCTGTAATTTCTTTCCTTGTTGGTCCTGGTGAACACTGGAGTTGGCAGCCCTCTGCCTTTCAAGCATATCGATGTTAGTCATTCTGTGTCAGCAGACATGTAGATATGTTTAACACTGCAGGCTGGTTCATACCCCCCTTACTCTTTTCTCCATTCTGCATTGTCCATTTGAATGTCTTGGCTATTTCTTCACCCTGTAAGTTAAGTAAGATTACAAATAATTAATACAAAATATAAATACTGTTGGGATGTACTTGAATAGTCTGGTTTGGAGTCAGTCTGACACTGAAGAAACACCAGCATTAAGTCCAGAGACTTGGATGCTCCTCTTGATTTTTCCAGAAAATTCCTGGGAAACTTGAATAAGCCCCTTCCCTGTCTGGCCGCCTCGTGCCTGTATGCCAGGCCCCACAGGGTGATCTATTTTATAATGAAAATAAAAACCACTCCTTTTCAATGTTAGTGGAGAAAATCACCTCACTCACTGGACAACCTCTCTGAACCAGCCCTTTCAGTGATCACCAGCACACCCACCCTCCTCTTTTTCTCTCTACAGGTGAGGAATGACCTGACCGGGGTTCTGTACGGTGAGGACATCGAGATTTCAGACACCGAGAGCTTCTCCAATGACCCCTGCACCAGTGTCAAGAAGCTTAAGGTAGGTGCAGTGGCCACAGCCTGAAGGACAGAACCAAAGCCAGGCTCCTGGGGTTCCCAAATCCCCTGACTGTGAAGGATCTTGGAGTTCAGGCTGTTTCATTTCATCCTTGGCACCTCAGACAAGGGGAGAAGCTCCCAGGAGCTGGCTTCCCTTGGCTTTCCCCTTTCCAGCACTGGCCAGAGGTCTCAGCACCAGCTGCATGGCCATGTAGAGCTTACTCAGTGATTGTATGTCTGTTAACCCAGCCTCAGAAGTAAGCAGGGCACAAGTTAGCATCATCTCCATTGTGAAGCATCTCAGAGAGAGGAACTCTCTTGCCCAAAATCAAAGCAAGGAAGTATACTGGGAGGACAGAAAGCCTAAGCCCCAGACCCCCTTCCGTGATACTCACTCCAGGAACAGAAAGGGTTAACTAGAAATTTGCCCAGCTATAAGTGGTCTCTGAGTTTCCATTCATCCTGCAAACTCTCAAATACCTTGTTTGCGCCAGATTCCCTCCTGGGCTTAGGTTTACCATCAGGCCTGCCCTTGTCCTCAGGCGGCTTGCACCTGTTAAGAAAGCAGGTACCTCTCTGAGGAATCAGGAACACAGGGACCTGGGGACAAGGGGGGGGGGAGGGACTGGCCCCACTCAGAGAGAGGGTTCCAACAAGGCTCCAGAGAAGAGCATTTGAGCTGGCCGTGGACAATGAGCGGGGTGGGTGCTACAAGAACCCAGCAGGGAAGGAGGGCTGAAGACAGAGGGCCAGACAGCTATGCTAACTTTACGCTTGGAATCAGTATGAATTCCAGGAGGCTGGCATATCAGGTGGGACAGGAAATTTGCCAGGGCTAGAAACAGTTTAGAGCCAGTTTCCATGAGTCTTGAATGCCTAGCTAAGAACTTTGGTCTTTTATCCTGAGAGCAGTGGGAGCTGATAGGGATTTAAAGCAAATAAGATACGGTTAAAGCTGTTGCTTTCCTCTTTCATTCTCTTCCATTCCCTCATGCCCACATTGAAAGTCATTGTCATGGAGACCCAGACATGACATATCCCCTCTCTCTTGGGCAGATCCCAGGTTTCACTAGTTAGAACAGGTGGCGGTTTAGAGTGCTCATCTTTCAAAGCTCTCACTTCACAGATGGCATACAGAAGCTGAGAGGTGAGGGGTAAAGGAAGCAGAGCACCATTTCTTTGTCCCTGTTCTGGAGCAAACATTGCATCTACACGTGACATTTCAGCCCTGGGAGCCTCTGCAGATGAGGAAACAGTAGCTAGGGAGGGCCTGCTGGCAGCACAGATGGTTGGGGCTGGATCTGCCCAAGCTCTTCCCCAGAAGGCTGTGTGGTCTGAGGGTTAGGTCAGACTGTGTGAGACCTGGAGAAACAGAGGGGTGGAGGGCCCACTCTGCAGGGAGCGAGCCCCTGGTGTGGTGTGGGGGGAGGCAAGGGCCTGGTACTGAACTGACATTCTCCTGCCACACACAGTGTCTCCCCAGGGTGTTCACTTGAAATAGCTCCTTGTACCTTGGAGGCCCTGCAGAGTTCTGCAGGCTTTAAAGTTTAAAGAGCCTTTGTGCATAGAGCAGAAGCTCTCGTTAAAAGTCTACAGGAAATTGGAATGGAACTGGGTGCTTTGCTCATCAACCAACTAACTACAACAGAAGCAAGACTGAATTTAACAATGTTGAAAATAGCAGCCGACCTTTCAAATGCACTAACCAAAGGCCAAGTCCCCATGCACAGCCCTACACTTTCACTTACCCATTTAGTTCTCCCTGGAGCCTTGATCAGAGGGCATTTTGTATCTCCATTTCACAAGTGGGGAAATTGAGGCTCAAAGAGGTTAAGGAACTCAACCCAAGTCACCGAGCTGCAAAGAGGGAGGTTGGAATTCAAACTTGGATTTGGGCAACACCAGGGCCCAGCTTTCTCCTCCACCCCACACAACTGTAGTTCTGAGAAAGGATTCCAATGTCACATAAGCCCAGGAGGGCAGAGCCAAGGACAGCATGCTCGGTCTGTTGGCAAAGGGTTTCTGCTGCGTGAAGCACTCTTCCCATAGAACCTGCAAGCTCTTTCTCATGCCTTCTTCCCTTCTTTGCTGACTAGTTCCCTTTTCCCAGACTTTTCCCTTCTCCAGTTATTTCAGTTAAAATTTAAATCTTTGCCCCTCTCACTCCCTTTCCCCCTGTCTGCTAATTTCTTTCTCCATTGCACTGATGGGCATCTGCATATTTCCTGTGGCTGCTTTAATAAAGTTCCACTAACCGGGTGGCTTAAAACAACAGAAATTTATTCTTTCACATTCTGAAGTCTAGAAGTCTAAGGTCAAGGCCATGCTGTCTAGAAGACTCTGGGGTTCTTCTATCCCTTTCTCTGAACTTCTGGTGTTTTCAGAGACCATTGATGTTCCTTGGCTTGCAATCTCTGCCTCAAATGGCATTATCCCCCTTCTTCTTCACATCATCTGTATATTAGGACACTAGTCATTGTTGGCTCTCAATCCAACATGACCTCATCTTAGCTAATTACACCTGCAATGACACTGTTTGAAATGAGGTCACATTCTGAGGTTTGGGGGGTTAAGATTTCAACATCTGGGGGGAGGGAGACACAATTCAACCATTAACAACATCTGACCTACTATTCATTTTACCTAGTTGTTTTGTCATCTGTCTCCTCCCACTAAGATGTAAGCTCTGAGAGATAGCTGTTTCTGTCTGTCATGGTCACTATTTTATTCCCCCATCACCTAAAACCAAATCTAACTTGCTCAATAAATTTGTTGAGTGTATGTAAGTGAAATATCAAGTCTGGGTCAGATAAAGTCAACAAAATGCAAGAGTAAAGTACTAAAGAACAAAGAAACATAACTTCTGGAAAGCTCTGAGAAAAAGCAAACCTCTGGTTCGCTGTGGGACAAGATAGAGAAGGAAGTACAGAGGACAGGGAAGAAAACTAAATAGAAAATTATAGAATTAATATCTGCATTTGATGTAGTAAAGAGCAGAGTTAATGCCAATGAAAATAAAAAATCAATAATTTGGAGGACAAACTTGAGATTCAAAGGAAATGGTCAAAGAAATCAATCTAATGAGAGGGAAGATAACAGTTATGGATGCTGGAAAAGGGAGATCCTAAGGGAAAATCAAACAGAATCAAAATTAAAAAAAAAAAAAAAAAAAAAAAAAAAAAAACAAGCATGCTTAGCACCCAACTCTTGGTTTTTAATATTATTTTCAAGGAAAAGAAAACAGAGTTCCCTGGAGAAATAGCTGGTTCTAGTATTGAGATAGGAACTAGATCCTGGAATGTCTTGCAGTGCCAGAAAACAAGAAATGCTCAAAAACACCTTCACACACATATGGGCTGGGTCAGAGCGAACTGAAAGAGTTCCTTGTGGCCACAGCTGGAACATTAGAGCAATAAAATAAAAGTGTTGGATTACAACTCAAAGTTAAAAATAAATATCTATGAGTTCATATTGATATGAATGATTGAATAAATAAGTGGGAGAGGATAGACAAATCTCCTATGCTGAAGAATTCCAAATAATTTATATAGATATTCACACTCAAGGAGGTTGAGCAAAACTACCCACTTATTAAATGACTTCCTTCCAAAGAGTACAGTATGAAGAGGGTGGGAGTGGGGAGAATAGGAAACCTGACAAACACTACCTCAGACAGGTGATCAATGTCAGCATCAGCCGTGATAAGTCCAATTGATTGAATGTACCTTTAAATGATGTGATAAAAGGGCATTTTACCTCTATGATCTTCTTCCCCCAAATCCATAACCTCAGGTTAACCATGAGAAAAACATCAGGCAAATTCTGTTTGAAGGCCATTCTACAAAATATCCGACCAATACTCTTCAACACCGTCTTGGTCTTTAAAAATAAGGAATGTCACCCTAGGCGGTTTGGCCCTATGGATAGAGTATCTGCCTATGGACTGAAGGGTTCAGGGTTCAATTCCAGTCCAAGGGACTTACCTTGGTTGCAGGCTCAATCCCCAGCCCTGGTCGGGCCCCATGTAGGAGGCAACCAATCAATGTGTCTCTCTCACATCAATGTTTCTGTCTTTCTGTATCTCCTCCCTTCCTTCCACTCTCTCTAAAAATCAATGGGAAAATATCCTCAGGTGAGAATTTAAAAAAAAAAAAAAAAAAGGAATGTCTAAGTTTAAAGGAGTCTATGTTAAAGGAGTCTGTGGAGACCTGACAGCTAAATATGGTGTTCTGGGTGAAATTCAGAAGTAGAAAAGGACATTAGAAAAAAGAATTAAGGTGGTCTGAATACAGTATGGACTTTAGCTAATAATAATGAGTCAATCCTGACTCATTAATTGTAACAAATGTACCATACTAACACAAGATGTAAAAATAGGGGAAACTGTAAGAGACATATGGGAATTTTTATAATATCTTTGTGGTTTTTCTGTAAATCTGAAACTATTCTCAAATAAGATATTTATTCTTTTTTAAATTGGAGACAAACTTAAATGGACTCAAGAGAGAACTACTAGATTGGAGCCGACAAAATTGCCAATCTTCAACCATGATGGAACTATAAAGTCAACAGTTTCATAAGGAATGTGCCAGCTACATGTGCAGACTAGCTGGCCTTTCCACATTTTAACAGAATTGGTGGAAAGAGAGTCATATATAGACACATTTTGGCAAAAGTTTTGAAATACAAACATAAAAAGTTTTGAAATGTACAAGTATCTAGGCCAGAAAAAAAGCATATTTTCCACAAAGGTGCAAAATCCAGGCCACCTTGACTCCTCTGCAGTGTTCAGTCCCAGAAACAATGGGCCATGGGGAGACGTTCTCTGATGTGTGAGGTTCACGTGGTACACGTGCCAGGTGCTCTTCTAGAAGTTAGTCCTTGCAGTCAATGTCATCTTTCTAGAACCAGGCAAGCTTCACAGTTGAGTTCATGACAGACATGCTCTGAGGACCTGTGGAAAGAGCTAAGTTTAAATAGTAGTTATAAAAGATGCAAAAA